TACTCGCGGTAGACACGGCCGGGAACCTGCAAGCCCCCGCCTCCGCCGGTTACGGCGAACCCGAACGCCATTATAGATAGAAGCGCGGCGATTAATAGGAGCATGGCAAAGAGATATACCCATAGAGCGCAAGCCACGTTGAAGCAAGCGCCGATGAAGCCGGCGAGTGAAACGAGGAGGACAACGAAGCCTATGGCGAGGAGTGGGGTTTGAAGAGCCGACTCGCAGGTGGCGGAGCTCCGAGTCAGCCATAGAGCGCCGCCGATGATTGGGATTGATGAGACAAGTGTGAGGAGGTTTAGGTATCCTATTGCCGCGTTACTTGGTCTAAACATCTTCTTCTTCTTCGTGTTGCTTAATTCAGTCTGTCATAGCTTTATGGGGGAGAAAGGATGGTTGGGTGTGTTTCAAAGAAGGCGTTAGGAGTCTGTGTTAAAAATGATAAATCCCATTTCACACATGTGATCCCATCATTAGGCTTCGAATGCATCTGAGTCATCATTTAATGGAAGATATCCTTGTGACTTTATGAGAGAGAGTGGAGGGTTGGGAGGAAGGAGGAGTGCTTTTACTTTGGAGATTTTGTGGTCCAAATTTGCTTCTTTGGATTCATGCTGCTTTTAATTGAGAAAGAAAAGAAATAAAAGTGCTGGTTTGTATAAAGTTCCCAAAAGATAAATGTATAATCTGAATTTTGTTTGCTTTTGGTTTAAAAGTGACGGTTTTTAAACTAAATAGATAGATTAATAAATGCATTAGAATTCTGGGATATGAATAAAATAAGAGTTTTTATGTATTATGAGTTTGGCAGTATAACAACTCTATGAAAGCAAAATTCTTCTGGAGTCTTCAGTCGGTTATAAGTTCAGACGTACCGTATACGTGATTCTTTTTTAATTTGTTCCATGAAATGCATGCATCGAATCAAAATTTAAATTTTCTATATGAATATGTTGTATGTATTAAGAATTTTATATTACTCCGGGATTTATTTGAAATCTGTTTTGATGCGTGTTAGAAAATTT